TTCCTGCTGTAGGACTGGAGGGCGCAACCAGTTGCGGCTGTGCCAGAGATTACTGCCCTACTAGGCGGACAGCTGAGCATGGCGCATATCCGCTCCCAAGCCACCCCATTTATAGGCTGGTGTACTAGCAAAGTCAGTAATACCAGGCATTAATACAGCTGCCTACTAACTGCAGCAGATCCATATTCTGTTGAGTACAAGCTTCAACTGCCAGCACAAGAGTCACCAAACTTTCTGAGGATCACTCACAAATTGCTCTTACCTGCTGTCTTCTCACAGCCCCCCAGTTCACGACTGCCCTTTCTCTTGCAGGCCAGCACTGCCATCCCTGTTGTCACACAGCAAGCAGGTCCTCGGAGCTGATCCTGCTCAAAAAACAAAGTTGGGAGTGTGAGGGGTGCTAGGTTAATTTTTGGCTCCCTGAGCAGCTCCCTTCAGGGTCCAGGAGGAGGAAGAGAGGAAGGGGGAGCTGGACTGTGCGTTCAGCAGCAGTTAGCCATTAGGACAGCTTTCCTCTGCCCTAAAAGGGCACCATCATTTTGTCTACTTTACTTGGTCCTTTCATATCTGAAAAGTTAATAGCCAGCTGAATCCCTCTGGCCTGTCACGAGCAAGCTTGAGGCAGAGGCTCAATTATTTCTACCTTTCAGGTTGCATCAGGGACCTTATCCGTTTCTTACTACTAACATAAATGGTGGGCAGCAGATTTCCTCTCTACAATTAGTTTCAGTGAGGTTTAGTCTATTTGCAATCTCACTTCAGTCTATTAGTGTCTGCTGCAGCACTCACTGAAATCAATAGGAAAGAGCCCATTTCACTGATTAAGGGAGGAATTAAATTCCCCTCTCTTTCCAAGCAGCCTTAAAGTATTGCTTTCTCCTCTTTAACACTGAGTCTTGCAAGCAGGGACTAAAATGGTCCCTTCCACCTCTGCTCACTTTCACAGAAATGAAAATGGAGGAGGATGAGTATGAGCTGAAAACTGTACTCCAGTCTGTGTCACCCTGACCAAGGGCAAGATTATGTTTTCAAGAAGAGGTTTCATTCTGTCTTAACTTCTTTTGTTTAGATGTGAAGACTGCTTGAAAAAAGTTTCAGTACTAAGTTGGGTTTCTGCTCTTTTTCAAGGCTGATTCTTACGGCTTGAGAGGTTTAAGAGAAATACTTGCTCTGTTTTTACCAAAGAAAGCATTCTTTCTTTGTACTTTCTTTCAGGGTTTGTTGTATGTTATTATCCCCCCCCCCCCAGGTTTAGGAATACCAAGATGGCTAAGCATGGGCTTCTCTGTTTTTGTGGAGGATATAGATGTTTTGAGGCTGAGTACTGAGTGCTCTCTTGCCTTTTGTAAAAAAGAGGAGCACTGAGTGCTTAGGAAAGCACCTCTCAAACATTCAGCACCAAAATCACTTACTTCATTAGTTTCCCCATTGCCAGGACGCCTTTCAGGCTGGTCAGAACCACCATGTTAACTAACATTTAATAAAAATAATAGAGGCCTCTTCAGTGCATCCTAACAAAGAAGGGCACACCCTCTTCTTTTCCCCGTAACCACGATATTAATTTATTTAAAAGTCTTTATAGTGCTTATTTTCACACTGCACTAACAGCTAATGCAGAAAACCCTGAACTATTTTGCCAATTGACTTTAGCTCAGTGAACGAGCAAGCAAGCAAGCTACATGATGAAAAGTCTGTCAGATCCCCAGATCACTTCCTTTTTATTAAATATTGGTGCTGGTAACAAACACACGTGACAAGTGGCGGTCTCATGAATACTCCTCTTAAATAGCGTTCAATATTACTGAGCTCAAACTTCATGACTGGGTAACTGTTTTCCCTACCCGGTTTCTAGGGGAAACTGAGGCCAGCAGCACAGCTGGGAATTTCCTACATTTCCAGACTCCCAGTCCAGCATCCCTTGTAGAAACCAGCTGTCCCTTTCCTCATGCTAACATACCTCTGGATTCTCAGGCAAAAATGACACAAATGAACAGGCTGCTGCAAATAACTGCTCTAGCACTCAGTCAGAAAGGCTGAATTACTAGCTCAGGTACGAAGTAGCACGTTGCCTCAAGAATAAAGCAGGACCCAGCCTGTGACTCAGCTGCCTCCAGCCTAGTTTCATCTTCCTCCATCCCTGTTCTCCAGTGGAAGAGGAGATAAACTGTGCCAGCCACCCGGCTCTCCCCACTCGCGCGCGCTGGGGCAATGCAAGACCTCAAAGCTGTATGAGCTCTGCTTGCAGCTGAGGGCCAGGTGAGCCACTGGCACGCCATCGGGGGTTATGCCAGCAAACACCAATTTCTTGCCCAATGGCTGCGGCAGCAGACAGCACCAGGTGTGCTATTTAACCAGCCCGGGTGCGGCTCTTATCCTTTACAGTCAGTCCCTGAGATACGTTGCCTTGAGTCAGCTGCTGGCAGCAGTCCCAGGGAGGCAGTCTGCTTTGCATCTTCCATCCCAGGACCGCCCTCGTGGCAGGGGGAAGATGGGCACACGGTGGTACGCCTCTGTTTGGGAGGACGTTGCACCTTCTTTTTATTAACGTACACTTTTATAGAAGGTAATAAACTGGGTCTAGAAGCGGCTGAATCAAAACAGAGTTTGAACTGTTTGGCTAAACCTGCACAAACCCATATGAATGCACTTATGTGAGCTGACAACCGGTTTTTTATCTGGTTAGTGTTCATCAATTAATTACAGACCAGCGTGTCCACACCAGGCTTTCTCTGTGATTTAGCCAAGTCAATTTTCAAAAACAATTGCAATTAACCCAGTTACAACTGAACTGTAGAACATATTTCATTATTCAGGACACCAGAGTATGGCTGGTACTCTCAGGCATACAGTATGCATAAATGCAGCCCTTACAAACCCATCACAGAAACTTGCTGTGCTTGCTTACAGTAGCAGTGCCCATCCCATCCCTCTTCCAGGGACTGCCGTGCTCCCCAACAAAGTTAACACAAAGGAACATATGCCCATGCCCTATTTGCTTCAGGCCAGAGGCTGCTACGTTAAGCTTAAACTGCTAAGGAAGGTTTGTGCTAAGACCCTAGCCTGCAAAAAGAGGGTAACAAACAGCTGAGGAGCAGTAGCATCTTAAACAGCTGCAGCTGTTTCCCCAGTGAACGTGATTCAGAGCCTCAGTGTTCAAGAGCTGAAGCTTAGAACATAGCAACAATTCTTGCAAAATATTTTGCTTCTTGTCTTTTTTTTTTTCTCTCCCATACAACTTTTTAACCTCTTGGTGCCTGTGCTAAGTTCCTACCTAAAATAGGTTTCAGGGTGGACCATGCTTCCCATTTGATCCATGACTTGCTAAATATAGCCAAACACAGACAGCCTCTATAAGATGGTTCTCTCGAAATGTTAGTAGCCACACATAACGTTGCCAATGTCATCCAGGAAGTGGGACACCACGGCAGTTATATTTTGTACTTAAAATAATAATAAGAGAAACTTTCATACTCTGTGGAAAGGCAACCATAAATTTGATTCAAAAAAAAAAAAAGGCAAGAGAAAGAAAGGACAGACTTCAGCAAGCAAAAGAGAGTAACTCTTTGAACTTGACTGGAGTCACTGAAGACTGAAAAACAGAATAACCTGTTTCAAATGTCTTTTGACAGTACAGAGATAAAATAGAAAAAAAAGAGACTTGTAACCTAGAGGAAGGAAAGGGGAGACATGGAGGAAAAAGAAGAATAAACCAGCATAAAATACTATTCCTTCTTCTTAAGTTACCAAACATTTGATATCAGCATACAACTTGTAAATACATGACTTTGGGAGGAGTATCAAATACATAACTGCTCCTCCATCCAACAAGGCACTGTGATCCATGGAAATGCTTTTCCCAGGATCTTTGTAGGAGTGACACCAGCGGCTGCTAGAAAGCCTTTCTCGTGTACTCCCTAAGTAGCTGCTGCTCCCTACGCAGCATCACAGAGAATCAAATTCAGATGTGGAAAGCATCAGCCTAAGTCTAAATATTCCCAAAGCAGCTTTTTTTTTTTTAAAGCAACAGAAAGAATGATTGTGTATGAACTTAAGTCCATGTTTAGAAAAACAAAAATGAACAATGCACTTTTTTTAAGTTAGCCTGACAACAACACCTTCAGAGTCAGAGAAGTACCAAGGAGAGAGAGAAGAGGCACCTGCTCCCATAGGCAGACAGAGCATCAGCTCAGCTTGTCCCATTGTGAGGGAAGGAACTAGGAGCACTACTTCCAACCACCTTGTCTCCCACCTCCATCCTGCCTAAAGGAAAAGCAAGGACCAGCCTGTGAAGCTAAGTTCAAACCCTGTTTCCTGGCTACTCCCAAGCTAGATGTGGCTGTAATGAAATCAGTGGGTTGCACCAGCTGCTGCCTCATTGCTTCACCAAAGACAGGTGAGCAACCTGGGACAGCCCTAATAGCAAAGGACCACTGGGTTAACCCTGCTAACCCCACCTTGCAAACCCTCCCCTGCCCCCACAGTCAAACCCAGGCTCAGTTGGGCCTTATAGCCTCGAAACTGTCCCAGAGATAAATGAGCTCCCCTCTGTAGGCACTGAAGGCTTGTTGCTTGCCATACAGGCAGGCATGCAATGGACTGAGGGCTGTGAGCTGGGCTTAGCTGGTAAGAGGAGGAGTCTACATGCAGGTGCAATTAAGGGCTTGTTAGCATACAAAATCTTCATGGTTCCCACCCAAAGCCTGTAGCAAAGCTAAGCAGGAGCTAGGTTATGCTAGCCTAGGGGCACCCTGATCCTTGTCCTAGGAAATGCACAAAAGTGGGGGGCCTAAAACTCAGGGCAGGTTAAGGAACAACTCTGATGTGGGGCCTTGAGGGGAAGTGGGGGTGTGCAAGTGCTTCTGGGCTGGAGAAGGAGCTTGCTATAACAGCACCGTCTTGTGTCTGACTGATACCACAGTCAGCAAAATGTGATATTGTATCCTCTTGGTAAACAAAGCTCCCAGCCTTAATGATGCAAAATAATCCACTGGTTGCCTTAAATCTAGCTAAGTGGGCACCCAAAACCCATTTTCAAGGCTGGAATGCCTGAACTTTCCCTTTGTGAGAGCAAAGTAAAGGAACGAGGGATTAACTGTGAAAAATACATGCATATAGAGAAACAAAGCTGTTATTCAATATCACGCAATGTCTTCCTATTTGTGGAGCTGCCTGACTCTTCAGATAGATAAGCTTTTGGCTCTTATGGGATGGCTGTGGGAAGGGATAATAAAGGGGTTTGGAGACCAACAGGACAAGAACATGTTCACTATGCAACCAGTAGTACAGATGCTGCAGTGTTTTATCACCAGTATTTTGTAGAACTCTCCATAAACTAAAACTGTTGACCTACTTACCCAAAGCCATG